ATATAAAATTTTAATTATTTATTCTTTAATTTTTAATAATTAAAATTTATTTATGTTTATTAAAAATAAAAAATAAAAAAATTTATATATATTATATACAATAAAAATTTTAATTATTTATTCTTTAATTTTTAATAATTAAAATTTATTTATGTTTATTAAAAATAAAAAATAAAAAAATTTATATAATTATAATACAATAAAATTTATATATAAATATATCTAATCCTTAATAAACTAAAGATTAATTTTGGTGACTAATCAACGATTTAAATAATTTAATGATTATCTTCTTTCACTGAAAATAAAAAGTCATGAATTTAAATTATATTACATACGAATAAAGTAAAAAAAAAAAATGTTTAACTCCTATTACGTAACTAAAATAAAATAAAAAATAAAAAACTTAAGTGACTAAAAACACATGCTACAAAAACTCTTGCCTAACATTGGAGTAAGAAAAGAAGCGTGGTAAAAAGTGTCGAATCTCTTTTTTTCGTAAAAGTGTAAGAAAGACTCAATTTTAGTCAAAGTGGCTGGCGTGGCTGAGTACTTTTTCTTCAAATGCGTTTAACCCAGACCTACAGATGGAAGACTTGAGAAGAAGGGGATTAACTCAGATTGACTTCCCAATTCCAAAACCCCAAAATACGCTCAATTCTACTGGAAGGAGTTTGGCTGGGAGAAGAGGCGAGCTAGTATGGAGAATCTAAAAAGGTGAGGGGAAACAGAAGGAAAGGGAGAATCGGAGGTTGCAGAGGGACGCAGAAGAGGAAGATTCTGAGCGGACAGAGCACGCAGGAGAGGGAAGAATCGAGGGTGGCTCAGTAAGAGTAAGAATTTTGGTGTAGATGTTTATTATGCCTTGTGCTTGATCCTGTGTTTGTGCTTGATTTTAGGGGAAGTTCTAATAAACTTGAGATTACTATGTCTTCTAAATCATGCGGTTCTAGCCTGTTGATTGCTCTGCCTGATGATGTATTCTCCATTATTTCTCGCTCCCTTTCGCCCCGGGACGTATGTAGTCTTAGTCTCTGCTGCAAGATTCTGTATGAATTAGTGTCTTCTGAAAAAATTTGGTTTACACAATGTGATATGATAGGAGTTTTGACCGGTAGGGACCTTGTTGAGTGGCGACAGGGTGTATCATCTTATAAGGCACTTTGCCGGTTCCTTCTTAGTTTAGCTCCCTTAATTGGAATTTGGGTTCATCAAAACCCTGAGCTTGGTAATGTAGTCTATGTGATGCCAGGCTTTGTTTCCGTGGTGGGGTGCCGTGTAATCCCACAAGAGCTTGGTCCATTAGGAATTGAGGATGGCCCCATTTTGTGGGCACCAGTGTTTGAAATAATTGGTGATTTTGATGGTTCCACCATATTTTTTTTGCATGGGAGGGATAAAGGATATGATTGTCTTTATCCTGGGTTACTGAAGTCTGTTGACAGGGATTGCAATGTGCTATGGCTTGAGGTTGAGCCTGGACAACAGAGAAATGGTTGTGAATCGTTGCATAGTGAGAGCTCAGAACATTACTCGGACAAGGAGATTTCAAGAAGGTTTTGTAGGTCAAGTGGTGAACTATCTAGGTCAGATCAGGTGTCAGAACAGAGTGAGACTGTTGTTCCTTTTAGTCGATTGGCTTTTAGTGACAGAAGAATGTTGCTTGAGAAGGTTACCGGTCAAGTTTGTCTTCAGGTTCCTGATTCTGCCAGTGGGCCACTATTTCCTCGATTGAGGGATGATGTGCAGAACTTTCAGAAAGATATATTGCTCTTATCAGAAAGGAGATCATTGCTTCTGAAAATGTGTGAGTTCAGTGTTGATTGCAATGACATAGGGAAGGCAGATTGTGAAATGCCTGCTAATTCTACACAGTTAAAACTGAGGGAGTTCAGAATGAATCTTGATTGCTCTACTGGATGTTATCATCCTTTAAATGGGGATGATAGCCACACACAAATCAGCAAGAGGAAAACAATTGGTGGGTATATCAGAGGTAGCCTCAAACAAATTCTTGGTTGGTCTAGTTCAAACAACAGTAGCCATGCAACCCGTTCCATTTTCAAAAGTAGTTCTTCAAATGGTGAGAAGAGGTATGCTCAACTTAATGAATTTCTGAAGACAGCGTATACTATAGGTTTGACTCTGCGTGCTTCTAGAATGAAGTTATCTTCTTATCGAGGATGGCCAAATATGCCTGAGACTCGATTTGCACTTTACAAGTTGCCCATATTGGTCCCTAAAGCAGACCAAGAATATGCTGGTTTATGGGGTGGAACTTTCGGTTGGCCTCCTGGGAAACCTTCTGAAGACAAGCCTGGAAAGGCTCTGTTCTTTCTTTTGCTCTCTTATGAGGAGTCAGAGGGGCAACGGCTCCTTATTGCAACCAAAATATTGGAAGGTACACACTATGTTCTCCATCCAAATGGTTCTCCAATGTTCATTGTGAATATAGACGAGCCTGCACAGGAGCAATTTCCCTGGAATATTGATGCAAACTCTAATCCTGTCAATATCAAGCATGCCTTTGTGGGGGAGGGTATTGCGAATGGCTATGGTTTCAGATACCCTGGCGCAAAGCCAGGTTCTCTCTTTGTAATTCAAAATGGTATTCTGGCATTCATTTGGAAGGAAACAAAGAGTGTGTTGACACTGCAAAGAATCAACTTGCAAGAGCTTTTGAAGAAAGGTGAAAGGGTGCCTCCTTTACCTCCAGTTGCCAACTTTTCTTATTTGACCAAGTCCTACTCAAATGTGTATGCTGGCTTCTCAAACACCTCAACTTGTTTCACTTCTCCACGGTTTGTATGAATATCATTTTTAAGATAGAATGTTTTACTGCTTGTTTTCCCCATTGATATTTAATATTTTTTGTTTCTTTTATCCATTCCCGTCACCATGCTACTATTTAAACATAAATAATGAACTTAAATGTTTTATTTGCAGTTTTAGTATGATGATTAAATTTGTAGTTTGAATGTTTGATTGTGAATTACTTTACTTTTTTATATTCATATTGTCAAAGTGAACAACTCTTGTCTGAACATTTCTTTTTGGTTCAAGCTTTGGGGAGGGGAGATTCTAACATTAACAGGACTGATGTACCTTTAGGTTATTGCCTTGGCTACTAAAGTAACTGTGGTTATGAAAACCGACCCTTCAAGAATGTCTCTGGCTAAATTGGAGAATGATAATTACTGGTGCTTGCCACCAATCAATTGATAATTGTTTACTCAGGACTAGTTACCATTTCCATTTGCTAGGATCAATGTCAGACTCCTTTTTCAAGTCTTTGATATTGCACAACTTAAAGAAAAATCTGGATAAGTTCATGTTTATTTGCAGTATCCTTGTTTGATCTTGTGGAGATTATGGTTTTAATTTGATTGCGTTAGCCTTCATCTAAAATGCTTAGAAATTGACATTTTAAGCATCCTATTTCTCATTGGCAGAATGGCAGATACTTAGTGAATTATTGGCAGTTGAATAATTCTCAAGTACTCAGCAGTATTTGCACAACTATGCTTTCATTTATGATATGAAGCTGGCGCTGGCTGCTGCCAATGTGACACCAATTGCTTTCGAAGATGGCCTAAATGTCAGTGTGCTCAGACATTGTGAAAGTTTAGACTTATTTACATGCTCTAGGTAGAAGCATTCCAGCTCAAAAGAAGTGATAAAATGCTGTAAGCTGCATGTGGGAGGTGAGGTTTCTATGGAAACTTTTCCCCCTTTTTTTTTTTCGACCAAAAAAAAAAAAAAAATGCACACCAGTTACGGTAGGCTGCTTCTTCTGGCCTTTATTCTGTTCCTTTTACATCATGAATTAGAGCCTGGGATTTTTGGATATGTTTTTGCCGTGAAATTGCGTGACTCTATTTTGTTGCTGTATGATTAGAATAATGAAAATGGATTGAGGTTAAGCTTACATTGGAAATGCCATGGTTCAACTACCTTCCCCTTCCATACATTCGTAACTTGTTCAAAATAGATTCAACAGGGTATCAATTATTGATTAGATCTAAATCACACATTGAATCTTTAGCCTCATAATCGTCCTAGGTCCGATCCCCTTCCCCAAACATTTGTAACCTATTCAGAACGGTAGAGCTAACAAAATTAGACTCGACCAATCCACCATGGGTCAGGGTTTGGATACAAGGTATTGACCTGGACCGAGATAACCTAGACGTAAATGAGTCAGGCCAAATCTTTTAAATTTAAAATACTTGATTAGATATATTTTTAATTTTATTTTTTGAAAAAAATTAAATTAAAAATATAAAGTAGTTATTTTTTATGAGACTATTAAATTTAATATTAGTTTATAGATTTTTCTATCAAATAATTAATCGAGGTTAATTTTTTTAAAGAAAAACATAGAAAATATTGAAAGATTTTAATTTTAATTTTTTTAAAACAAATTCCCAGACCTATGTGGACTATGGGTCTTCCCATGTAACTCGAAACTTAAAATGATTAGATTGAAAATAGAGTGACTCAATCTAAATCCACCCATGGGGCTTGTTTACTAAGTTTATTGTCAATTATTTATTGAGTGGTGTTATAGGGATAATTTTTTTATCTTATTTTTTTATACAACTTTTACATGTCATTAAATGAGTGGATACATTTAATATGATGGGTCTTACATGAATTAAAAGAGTCAATTATTTTAATGACACGTCAAGTTATACAAAAAAATAAAAATAAAAAGATTGTACAAAAATCATTTCCTTAGACCTTTATTACAAGGTTAATCGACCTTCATACATTACATCAATTCTAAAATCATCCCCTCATAATTCCCAATCGACATGCACCAAAAATTCCCATGTAATAACTTGGAAGTTGAAGCATTGGACAAGTTAATTATCTATGTAGGCCATCTTAACAAAGCTGTCATGCTACATTTCGTAAATTCATTACATTGATGTTACACTTAAAAATATCTCTTACAGGACAAATACGAAAACTCAACTAGGGTTATTGTTTCTTCTACACTAATATACCCGATTCGCCCATAGAAACATGGATTCTTCATAGTTCTAACACGACGACTGTTCCAAAGAGCAAAACAAAGTTAATATCAGAAACAGAGAACAAAACAAACAGAAATTATATACAGAGGAAGAAGGAAAGAGAGAGATTACACTCGGAATCTGTAGTGATCCAATTTCCTTTCCTGGGGGCAGAGATATTCATGTCATATAAAGGAGTTGAATTCAATGATGCTATGTTGCAACTTTGATAGTTTCTTGAGGAAGAAGCCATTGAAATCCCAGAGTAGACGGAGGAAGTGGTGGAGCAGCTGTCCACCTCCCACCGGAAACTGATCTTGGGAGACTCATTGCTGAGCTGATCGTAATCCGGTACTGCCTTCAGGTTTCCCCTGTTACGGAAATGCAGAACCTGAAAAGCAGCAACTTTTAGTACACTTAGAGGAGAAAAACAAAATTTCTGAATATATGGACTTGAAAAACGATTGATGAAAATGAAGATATCTGTATTTGTCTTAGAATTTAAATGAGAAAAGATTTGTGGCTCCCCAAATAAGAATCAGAGGCGAAGTGAGGCTTCAGTTCGGGTCGTTTTATTTTATTATTACCTTTTTGCTAAAGGCCTTTACTCCTTTCTCTGATTTTGCTGCTGCAGCCCATCTCAAGAGCTCCTTCATTCTAGAGATGGCTTTGGTTTTATTTTCTTTGATTTTATCTTTCTTCTTACCGGCGGTGTTGCTTTGATCGTTGGAAGTGGTGGTGGCCGAGGATGACATTGCCACCTCGCTTAGTGGCAAAACTTTGCATCCGGCATGAGTAGTTGCAGAATCTGCTGCCTTGTGACCTGCTAGGCCTTTAGCAACCTCTCCTTTCTTCATTTTCTTAGGGTAAACCGAACGTTGTCTTCTCTCGGAGCTACCAACCCTATTCAAATAAATGCTGCTGTAGAAGCAAGCCTCTGCAACCTCCCTTGTGCATATGAATGTAAATGGCTTGAACTTCTTATTGCTCTTTGATCTTCTATACTCGAACAAAATTATATCTTTTGATATGGCTTCTTGATCTGGAAAAATAGATAATAGAACAACATCATAAAAAACTATTATCATTAGACGACCCAGTAGTTTGAACTAAGATGTCCAAATTAAAGTTCTTAGGTTGAAATCTGGGATAGTTGTGTTAGTTTAATGAAATCTTTTATTGTATATCGTCAAATCAAACAACATGCAAATAGAAAACTGCCTATGCTTATTTACCGAGTTCTTACCATTTGAAGTCTCCTTGTTGGAAGGACTAGGAGCTACCTTAAAGAACCAATGGAAAATCTGCCATAATTCAGGACAGAAGGAAAAGGAAATGAGCTTCAATGTGGATGCTACACATATTAGTGGTGTTTGATTTTTATACTAAAAAAGCCTACCTGCATTGCTGTTTATATGCTTGGTATTTTTAGGATACTCTGGTCAAGATGGACAGCAAGTAGAGAGATCTATCTGTGCTGTCTGTGAATGCCTGGAGATTCTTGTCTGAAGAATGAGGACCTTTGCAGAGAAGAAGACAAAAGCAAAAAATTGGGTTTGAATCTAAGATGGTAAGACAACCAAGAAGTGAGTGGGGAAGGGTTGGCTTTGGTGAATTGTGATTCCTAGTAACATGGGAGATAGTAATATATAAGATTAGGCATGTGGTGGGTTTTGTTGGGTGGAAATTAGCATTAATTAAGGACTAAAATGTGCTTAGCACTGTTGGCATTTTTGATAGCCACACACTTGGTGATCCCCTTCTGGCCTTCCCTGTGGTCCCTTTAGAGATGGACCAATTTATGGAAATTTGGTTCACTCATAAACACACTAAATAGCTTTGAGGGATTAGTACATTATTTGCTCTTCTCTGGACTAAATTTAAACAAAATTAATTAATGATGGTAAATTTGCAAGCAGCACCAAGGAATCTATGTAGTGGTGGTGTGATTTGTTTATTATCACCATTTGTCATGTTTGCAAGATGACTTCTGATCCATTTGACTATAAAAATGTGTATAAATACTCAATACAATAACAAATTGACGTTTAATTAAGCATTTTTTTTTTTTTTTGTGTGTGTTTATTAGACAACTAGGGCCCCTTTTTTTTTCATCAGAACTAGTATAGATCTAAGTTTAATTCAATGGTCCAACAAGATGCCTGTCATCTTAGAAGATCAAAAATCACCAGCATGCTTAGAAAAAAAATTTCACAACTTCTATTGATTAATTTAAAGATAATTCTATGTCTTTCAAGAGCAAACCAAGTTCCACATAATACAAGTGACATCCTTTTCCGTTAGTGCTAGCCAACTTCATTTTTTGCTTTCTATTGATATTCCAGGTGTAAGAATCAAACTTAAGCCTTCTCAGAATCTCAATATTATCTTTAATCTCTAAACTAACTACATTTGCTTCGATGCTATGACATAAATCAAGAACCCTAAAAACTTTCAATTATTATAACTTTCCCTAGAAAATAATCTAGAAGAGGTTGGTAAAAAGTCGAGTAGCATGTTAGCTAAGAGATACTTTATAGAAGTGAATTTAAGTTGGAATTTTAAATGAATGTGACAGAGACAATGACCAAATGGGTTCACGTGGCTGAGCGCCAGACATGCTGTAGTCTGTAGTTATTTAGTTTACGCACTGATGCTCTGATGGCGCTGTAAGGTCCATTCCGGTTCATTAACTTGTGCGTACGAGCTTCTCTCACCTTTCCTTCTCACTGGTGCTACTTGTTCGTTGCTCAGGTGATATAAACGTGCCACCTTCCTGTCCATTGCTTGAGTTCAAGTCGACGTGGTGTAACATAGCCGGTTCAAGTAGGAGAGCTGCTCCCATTGGAGAGAAACCACGTTAGATCGAGAATCAAATGGAGTTCTCTATACTCTGAGTTCAGCCCATTTGACTTCAAGTTAGGCTTTGAGCCTACTTTGTGCTTAGAGTTCAAACTAACTCATTGTTCTGTTTGGTTTTGTTGTTAGAGAACAATTTATAGTTGTTATCTTCGATCAAATAGAAAAAGTGCTTGAATTGTAGAAAACTATCAACCACTGAATATCGAATATAAGTTATCCGCTATTCCCTAACAACTAAATCGAATAGGATCTACCAAGCTCGAACTTTACCATACGGAGCACAGGGAAAATCACACTAGAAATGTTAGTGTCAGTATATGTACTACAATGGTTGCATTTACCCAATCAAACGCATTAACGCAATATCAACTTCCCAATAACACAAAAATATTGCTTCAGATTGCACGTCATGATCATAATTAGAAACTATGATTTGCATTAAGCGAGCCAAACATCATAGAGAGCGAACCTCGAAAGCACAGGGGAGAATGAATGTGTGCATTTGTTTACATGAGGAAGAAATAGATTACAAATAAACATCACCAGATACTAAAATGAAAGATCTAAACAAGACACTGGGAGAAATCCCAATTGAAATTTGAAAATGAGCATTTCTATGGAAGCTAAGAAAGAGGATTCTTATCAGACAATAAGCATCCTGTCCTCCTCTTCTTCCAGATTGAATATACACAATGATGCTGGAAACAAGCTTCCTTTCCACTTCATGCATCTTCAGAACCCATAATAAGAGACACCAGCAAAGAAATCCAGTTTTAAGGCAGTTTTTGTTTATTACTGGAACATCTATGGTAAGAATACCGGTAGGGTCAGCTGAAAGCAATCTAAAACAATTCCAGTAAATATCAAAGTCATGTCAAGAAACAAGAATTTACCAGGATCACTCTGACTACTATCATGATTGGTCTTCATCTGACCTTGACCGCATCACACGTCGACGTGTTCTTGGAATTGGAGATGCATCTTCATCTACATCACTGAATATAGGCACGTCGTCATCGTCGTCATCATCATCATGTAGACCCAACAGATTCTCACCCCAGAGGTAACGACGCTCAGACAAAGCCCCAGCATTGCGCCGATGCCTTGACCAAGCCCTTGACCTGACCCTTGGTTCACCAATACCGTCAATTGGACTAAACACCTGCTCAAACAAAAAGAGGGAGGTAAACCAAGGGGTGCTAACTTCACCCTGTCCACTTACCCTTCCAGCAGAGACCCTATCTCCATTTTCAATGACATAGTCCCCAACCACAACACCGCCAGGAATGGCCGAATGAATAACACTCATAACATCACCAATATCTCTTTGATTCTCAAAATGGCGCCAGGCTTGTTCTCTTGATGGGTCAATATCTGACGGCCGTGTAGTTGGATGAACCTTTCTGGCATGCCGACGCAACTCCTGGTAATTTCCAGAAAAGGAACATGATTCCCCAGAACAACTTCTCTTCTTCAAGTTAAGGTATTTTCTGGCTTCTTCTACAACCTCCCAGCCAACCACATCTCCCCGACACATAGGGCATTTCAATCTTGGTTTAGATTCTGATGAATTCCCAGAGTCTAACTCTTCTAATTCAACTCTTTCCCGCAAGGATACAGAATCCCCTATTTCCAGAATGCCTTCTCCCTGTGCATCCAGATGCCTACTAGGATCTTGGATGTTTCCTTGTAATCTAACAAATGTGCTGCCATTTGTTTCATTCAGGTTGTGATTTCCATTTTCAATCAAATCAGTTCTTGAAGCCAAGTTTACATCAAAAATATCAGAACGTTGCAAGTTTGTAGGTACAGGATGGAGTAATGTTGATTTATTCCTAGAATTATCCCTTAATTTTTTAAAACGATCCAGGCAATTTGAATGCCTGTAACTTGTATCACAAATGTAAGATCTGCAACCCTTTTCACGTGAGCTGCACAAGAGGAGGACAGCATTATGTGGATGGTCCATGCAGATTGGGCATGAGACTTCATCCAGTTCTTTGTAGAGAGCATGGATATCTTGACCAGTAAAAATTCTTCGTTTCACACCAGCCATTTTGCATACACTGTATTAAGTTACTCAACAGATGGAACTCATTAGACAATGAGCAAGTAGTTCACAACACAAAACCAGACTCTAGCATGTGAACATTCCCAAAAACTCAATGACTAAGGCACCAGTTCATTGATAAAGATGGATATAAAAAACAGCCTCAGGCAAGTCATTTAATCAAAATTAGATACACCAAAATATGGAAACAAATATGCAAGAACCCAATCATACACAGAGATACAATGACTTAACAATTTGTTCTTTTTCCTTTCATTTTTACCTACATTTTTTTTTTCTCTTAAAAATGTAAATGCACAGACCAATGCAAGCAAGAAAGGGGAAGTACGGGAAGAATAGGGAGAAATGAAACCTGGCTTTATTTTCAAAATTGCCTCAACTTCTATCAACCTAGTCCAACCTCAGACTTAGCTATTCCCATAACAATATTGAGAATTTCACCAAATGATAGTCACAAGCTATAACCAACGTTCAATAAGGTTCACTGAATTCTTTCAAAATCTTCAAAAAGAAAACCTATATAACCACATTACTCAATAATTAACCATACGTTATGAATTATGCTACTAATTGTTTTTCTGGTATATTCTTCTGATGTCATAAAATAATTCTCCAATTTCACCAGGTGCCCAAAACATAAACAAGATTAAGGAAGCGGGCTACATATCAATCCATTAACTAAAATAAAATATTAGGATATTTTTCTACGAGAACAAAATATTAGGATATTGCATGCAATACAGAGAAAATTTGAAACATAATCAAATGATTCAAATCATGAACGAGAAAGATTAAAATCTGAAAAAAGATACTTCATTAAACTGAGAATCAACTTACCAGAAGGTTGACTTTTGAATACACTTCCTACTGCAACCTTCTGCGTCTCTACTTGTTACCACTGGAAACTATAGAATCCTTAATTGTTGACTACACAGGGAACCACAAGGCAAAGGTTGATGCAACAGCTCCACAGTACGTAACAATGTAAATGCAGAATATAAATAGTCTTAAAAGCTTTAAGGAACAGAGCCTTGAATAATTAATTAAGATCTATATCTTGAACCAGAGTCAGCAACAAGAATGAGAAAACCTGCACTCATAGCACAAACCAGAAATGGTTGTCAAATTGCATCTCAATCTAAAATATCTACCAGGGAACAACAGCAACCTTAAAAAATGGAAAAGCCAAGGAACTACAACCTAGTTTCATAAAACTTCAAGGATATGCAATTTCCAAGAACTTTTACAGGATAGTGATGAGATTATAACGCAATGCTATAAACCTTTCAGCAGTTCAAGCAACCAAGTAGTGCAATGTGGCATAAAACAAATATTTAAAGAAACTGTTCTTGTTAAACATCAAATGCATTGTTTAAGGTGATCCCAAACCAAAGCCTTGTATTGTATTCATTTACCCTCAAAATAACACACAAATACACCCAAGGGGCACTGTGAACAAATCAGTCACCAGAATGCCCCACCCTCCAAAAAAAAAAATAAAATAAAATAAAATCAGTCACCAGGAAAATTATATGATCCATACCAAACCCATCTCCCCAACCCCTCCCCCAACAACCACCAACAAAAAATTTTAAAAAAAATTAATAATAATTTAATTTTAAAAAGTATCAGACACAATCCAAATAGCAACATCAATCCAGCAGCCCCTCCAAACCCTAATTCTAAATCAAACCGAAAACCCAAACCCATTTCCAAAAACCAAAAATTCCACCTTTATCAGGAACAAGAACAATCATATATCATAATAAATAAATAAATAACACCCACATGAACACAGATCAAAATCAATAAAAACCCAGAAGCATCAAAGAGCATGAAAAGGAATAATAACAACAAAGGTGAGGATTTACAAAGGGGGAATTCGATTTGATTGGATTGAAATTCCCATCTGTAGGAAGATTTGAGGTTGCGTGAAATAATGGCTGAGATATAGGAGGGTTTGGCAGCTCTGCGAAAAACGTGACGCTTTACAAAGATGAATAATTGGTAAAGAGAATGGTAAGGACTCCTTATATAAGCAGTTTTTTCACATTTATTTATGGGAGAAAAAAAAAAAA